TCTGTAAAATCCCTCTGGCTTACATGCAAGTCCAGACAAACAGCAATGTGGTTGACTCTTAAATGTTTTCAGAAATGGCCTGGCATGGCATTCAGTTGGATCCAGTAACTACCGTGTCTAAAGCAAGAACAAAATCAGATAGACCACCAGGCATCACCCTAGGTACAAGAAACAATAATAGCAAACCCAGTCCTGCCTACTATGCAAAGTCCTCTTCACTAACATCTGGGGAGCTAATGGAAAAAATAGAAGAGATTGCCACAGGGTAGTTATTCATAGAATCATCTCTTACATATCATGGTTGCAGGTGGAACGGAATTGCCTTGTGAGTACTCAAACATCAACTCCATGAAGTCTCATGGGATCAGGTCAAATGTGGGCAAGGAAAATTCCTCCAGTGCAACAACTGATGAATCAGCACTCCATGTTAAATATTACTTACAAGAAGCACAAGAGAGTGGCAAGTAGCATTCCCTCTAATTTTCTTTCCAGCTGCATGTGCCTCCAAGGTCCATACACAACAGTGACTTCCAGGACTCGAAGTTAATGCTGCAATTGGCATGTTTAGCGGGAATGCTGGTGGCAACAGCACAGAACTAACTCTGGGAGGGAGATCTTCAGTGTCCATTAATAAGCATGGCTCAGTACCACCACTGCTAATTAAGCTGTTGAGTCTGCTAGACTAGGTTGTGGCAGGTTATGAGGGAAGCAACAAGAGGGAAAAACTTACTTGACTCTGTGGTTACCAATCTACTTGGAGGAGATGGATCTGTCCATGACAGCAATATCAGGAGTGACCACCAGAGTGCCATTGTGGAGACGAAGTCCTGTATTTGCTGAGAAGATATTCTCTATCCTCTATAGTGTTGTGTGTCACTACTATTGTCCTATTCGTGGATAGATTTTGAACAGATCCAGTGAACTAAAACTGGGCATCCATGATGCGCTGTGCACCATTAGCAGAACAATTGCATTCAGCACAATTTGTTTATTTTAAAATGTTTAATATTGCTTGAAGGACTTGTACTTTGAAGGGTTGTGGAAAATAGGCTTAGCTCAAACTTTCTGGACATACTGGTTTCTTTAAACGAGGTCACTGAATGTTCACTGTGAGCCTGGGAAATGCTACCTTTAAACTCATGATTGGTGATATTTGCTTGCTTTACTGTAGACGCTACTAAAGCTTTTTTTTTTAAAACAGTGACTGGCTTGGAAAGGTTCTTGTTTTATCTGGTTCAGTTGGAGTTCAAGCTGAATTCGTAGTAAGTTTGCAAAGAACGTGCCGAGTTGGACGGAAGCCTGTTAAGACCAAGCTTTATAAAGGCATGCTGACTCCAATAGATTGTATTTTATTTTCATGTAAAATGTAATCAGCAACAAAGACAATGAGGCTAAGACTAGAATTTTGAATAAGTACTTGCTATTTGTGTTGAAGAACAGGATGTCGACAAAATATCACTGAAAGCAGGATTAGTACAGGCAATGGCTGAGATACAAATCAAGAGAAGCAAGGTATTGGAAAGGCTGCCTATACTCTGAACATAGGAACAAATAGGAGTATGAGTAGGACAGTCAGCTATCAAACCATTCCACTATTCAACTTGATCATGGCTGATCTACCGCAGGTGTTTTTCTCACACAATCATCGTATCCCTTGATGCCCGTACTATGTAAAAATCTATTGATCTCTGTCTTATACATGCTTAATGACTAAGCCTCAAGAGTTCTCCAGGTCAGAGAGTTCTAAAGATTCAGCATTTGCCGAGTGAAGAAATTCTCAGTCCTAAACGGTTTATTTCTTATTCTGAGAATTTGATCCTGGTTGCAGACACCATCCCCAAGCCAAGGAAATCATCTTGCCTGCAGCTGCCCCATTGAGCCCTATAAGAATTTTGCATGCTTCAATGATATTTCTTATCCTTCTAAACTCTAGAAAACATAGGTTCAATCTCATCAATCACTGCTCATAGGTCAATCTCCAGGAATTAGTGAATATGGTGATTTTTTTTGCACTCTTTCCTCAGTCACAGTGACTAAAACTACAGAGAACATTTTGGGTGTGGTCTCAGCAAGACTCTAAAATTATAATAAAATTTCTTTACTCTTGTACTCAAGTCCTCTTGCAATAACACCCACTTACCATTTGCCTTCCTCATTGCTTGCTGAGCTGCCTGCTGGTTTTCAGTAACTCATGCAGAAGACCCAGCACCCTTTGGGCATCAACACTTACTATTCTCTCATCATATAAGAAATGCTACTGTTTGTTTTTCCTACTGAGGTGGAAAATTTCACATTTTTCCATATTCAATTCCATTTGCCATGTTCTTACCCACTCACTTAGCTTGTCTAAACGCCTTGCAGCCTCTTTGCATTCTCTTCACTCATTCCCACCTATTTTGTCTCGTCAGCAAACTGGAAAATGTTATTTGATCTCCACATACAGATTACTGATATAGATTATGAGAAGGTGGGGCTCAAGCACTGATTCTTGTAATACCACCCTTAATGTATCACTTTGAGAATGAACTGTTTATTCCTACTACTTTCTGCCTCTTGACCAATTCTCATTCCATTCTAGTATATTATTTAAATTACTTAAATCTGCTCTAATTTAGCTTACTAGCTTCCCGTGTGGGACATTATTAGAAGCCTCTTGAAAATCCAAATATATCACATCCACTGGAATCCCCTCAATCAGCTCGTTACGTCCTCAAAAAAAAACTCCAGATTTGTCAAACATTATCCCTTTTTTTATAAATCCATATTGATTCTGCCCAATCCTATCATTATTTCCTAAGTTATTGAATCATTTAAAATAAATCCCATCTTCTACCCTACCACTGATGTCAGGTTAGTTCCTCATGTTTTCTCTCCCTCCTTTCTTAAATACTGAGAAGGACAGACCAAAAGAAAATGATGGTGAGGTAGTGGGGTTCCATTTGCTGCCTTCCAATCTGCAGGAGCAGCAGGTTCAGAGAATTTTGCAGATTATAAATATATCACTCTCTCTAAAAATAGTACCCCATTCAACACTTTAGGATATAGACCATTCAGTGTGGGAGATTTATCAATTTTCTGCCCTATTATTTTCTCCAGTACTAATTTTTGACTAATACTAATTTCTTTCACCTCTTCATTCTTGCTAGTCCTTGGTTCCCTAGCATTCCTGGAAGTGTTTTTTTTAATCATCTGTGGTGACAGACACAAAGTATTTATTCAGTTTCTCTTATTTTCTTATTCCCTTCACATATTCTCCTCTATCCGCCTGTTGTGGACCCACACTTGCCTTTGCTAGCCTTTTCTTTTTATAAATACTCTTAGAAAGTTTTACAGTTCATTATTTACACTTCTAACTAATTTGCTTTCATAATCTATTTACTTCACTAATTTCTTAGTCCTCCTGCGCTGAATTCTAAAATGCTTTCATTCCTCAGTCTATTTATTTTGGCAACTTTATAAGTCCTTCTCTTTGATCTAACACAATCCTTAACTCTTCTTGTTAACTTATCTTGGGTGACTGTGGAGTTTTTGTACCTGAATGCTACGTAAATTCGAGTATTGCTAAAAAAAAAACACATTCTGTAAATATTTTTCATCTTTCACTTATCAAGACAATTCACACGTACTAATGAAAAGGAAGGATAACATTTATACTGCAAAAAGGGTTCTGCGCTGATTGGTTGGCAAGTGGATTCGGATTGGCAGAGACATTGTGATGGAGACTGCACCCATTGGTTAATAACTGTCAGCAAACCAACTGTTTGCTCAACATCCTGTTCTAGAAAACCATTTTGTGTACATTCTATAAATTTATCCAATACAGTATTGAAACTAAGTTTTTCCATTCTGTATACAAATTAAAATCCCATTGATTACCGTATTACCCTTGTTCACAATTCTCCAATTTCCTAATTTATATCATGCCATTCATTGCCAGTATGTTCTAGTAGTCTATAAACAACTCTTACCATTACTTGAGGTTTATTCACCCTAAGTGATTCTACATCTTGATCTTTTGATCTATGATACCATGATTCCCTGTCATCACCTTTTTCTTTTGGTCTATCCTTCCTTACACTGAATATCTTTGAACATTCAATTTCAAGCCTTGGTCACTCTGCAGCTATATCTTTGTATTGGGAATTAAATCATACCTGTTTACTTTCATCAATTCATCTGGTTGCGAATGTTAAGTACATGTTTTAGAATCAAATGCACTGTCTTCTTCTTATTTTTGACCTGCTGGCCTCATCTGCAAGTGTACTCTAAGTTGTACACTCTGTCCCTTCCTACCACACTCAGATTACCAACTTCCTTATACTTTTTTTGGTTTTACCTTGTCCTCTCTCGAAATTATCACATCATTTCTCTAATCTCTCGCTCCCACTATTTAGCCCTCTCTACTATTATATGTCTCAGTTGAAGAATGGTTCCAGCACAGTTCAGGTGATGACCATTCCAACAATATACTTGCATCCCATTTGCTTCAGCATTGGTGCCAATGCCCCACGAATCCAGACCCATTCTCAGATTTGATTTTTGGCAGCCAAGAAATGTTTTCGGATTAACAGTGTAGTATCTCAAGGTCAAAGGGATGATACAGTTTTTAATATTCAATACTGTTGCATTGTACAAATTTAAAGACATTCCAAGATTCATACTTATTAGTTTCCTTATTTAATTAGTTGCGGTAGAAAATTTTAATTCTAAGCAATTTTAATCAAGACAATTATCTCCATCTCTCATTTGGCATTATATACACCATATCTTCTGGAACAAACCTAACAGTAGATAAGCAACAAAAATATACCTGACTATATCCTAATTTCTTGCAAAATTATTAAAATATTCAAATAACTTTTAAAAAACTTTCAAGAGTAGGGGAGATGAACTCCAACATTACACAACCAGTAATTAAAAGAAAATGCAAACATTACAACAGTACAGCTTCTCTTGATCTTCAACCCAATTACTGAATACAAATTTGGAATACTACTTACTGTAAAGAAGAGATCCATAACTCTGCTGTCCAGAAGTGTCTCTCGCCAGGATTCTGTTGGCTTTAACATCACATTTTGGGAGGATTCAAACATAGCTATATAATGCCTGCCCAGTTATCTGGAGTCAAGGTCAATAGAGGAGCATTACTGGGACAAATACTTCCTAGCTACTACTAACATGAGTTCAGAGGGAGAATGTAATGGAAATAAACTTTAAGCCATGTTAAATACATGGAATAACTACAGCATGAGGACAAGCAATAAAAGCATTTAACTGTTCAGAAACAAGACCCATGAATGGTTGCAGATAAAAGTTTGATTACAATCACGTGGCATTCCATTGTGATATGATCACATGAATAAGCACAGCATCTAAAATGACAAGGGGGCAGCAACAGAAGTTTTAATTAACAAACTCCTTGATTTGTGATATTATAGCTTCCTTCCTCCATAATAGACCCATGACCATTTTTAATATTCGCTAAAGTTGAACGTTCACTTATTAATGACAACTGCAGTCATTAGTCTGTGGCACTCTTTTGATGCTGCACTTGCACACGCAACAGGTGTCAGTCTTGGCAGGGTGGTCGTACTCTTGCCTGAGTCAGAGGTCATGAGTTCAAGTCCCACTACAGAGACTTGAGCATATAGTGAAGACAAATGCTTTATTGCAATCCTGAGGGTGTGCTGCACTGTCAGTGATGTGGACTTTCATACGAAACATTAATCTGTCTTGCTTTCTTAGGTAGACGGGTGAATTCTCATGACAACACGCAAAGCAAAGAAATCTTGATGGCTTACACATCCTAGAATTGATCACGAAGCGCAAATTATCCAGTTATTTATCTCATTGCTGCCTTACTATGCAAAGAGAAGTGTTTTCTTATCTTTTCCTACATTAGAACAATGCCTACAATTCAAAAATACTTAATCAGCTGTAAAACATTTTGAAATGGTCAGAGGTGTGAAAAGCACTAGATATACATAAGATTTTTTTTTAAACTGCAGACTGAAAATATTTAAGACCATAAGAAATAGGAACAGGACTAGGCCGTTCTGTCCCTCAAGCCTGCTCCACATTCAATAGGATCATGGCTGATCTGACATTCCTCATGTCAACTTTCCTGCATTGGCCCCTAAACCCTTGTAAGTTGTAGTTTCTAGGAAGTTAACATGCCACCTTTATTTAATTTTTTTTGATGTATACTCTTTGGACCAATGTTGGAATGAAATGTGCCTGTTTTAAATCATAATAAACACAAAAGCTGCTTAAACACATTTTTCATCATTATAGAACGTAGAGACTTCGAGCACGTAGACACATAATCATACACGTGAATCTCAGATACACCAGCATACTTGGGATTTTCATTTTAGTATAAATGACTGAGCAACACACATACACTACAGGCCTAACAACATAAAAGGCAAGATTAAATTGTCTGATTGCTATTATTTATAGCTGACTTAAAAATAAAATTCAATGCTTAATTTTAAAGAAAACTGACAAATGACCAGCATAATTTCACGTCAATTAGCTCCACTAGAAGTAGTTACTCAACAGGATCAACAAATGCATGTGGAAACCTAAAGAAGACAGAACTATGTTTCCTTCATGAATACCAAAATTAATTAACATGCTACTTCATACAGAGACATTAATGTCTCAATCTAATCTTTGAAACTGACTGTGATGGGAAAACTAAACACAAGTAAAAATCCTACGTACCTATTAGCAATATCTTTACTGCTGCTGGAGGTCTGGCAAATTTTACTTCTGACTAAAGTTACGTGATAATTACTTTATACGTTTAGAGAAAACTGTGAAGAGCACATAATAATAACAGCACAGCTGAAGAGCATCCGACTTGAAAGGAACACCTATATATAGCTTGGGCCTGCTGCACTCATGCATTGTTTGGCTCTTCTGACTTGGGAGGCATTCCACAGATTTTAATTGTGCTCTGGCAAAATCTGTGCACTCATTTGGCCAAGAATACAGGTAGCAGTTGAAACAACAATAGTTTTGTACCCTTTTAAGTCACAAGTTACATCAACATTTGGTATGCAATTATTTTACAATTAAGTTTCAGGATATAATCCCAATACTACAGATAACTGCACTTAAGGTTGAAGCATACACATAGTGAATTCACATTAAAATAAATGTCTCTTCCCAAAAACACTAATATAGGAATCGTAACTATATTTTCAAAAATCTGATTAAGAGGTTGAAAATAAAAATTTGATCCATACCTTAAACACAGCCCTAGTCTTTAGTGCTGATTAAAATAATAACAAAAATCACTTTGGACGTCTAGGATGTTAACAGAGCTGTAAAATTTCTCAATGATCACTCCAGATAACTGCTCATGTGCAATATGGGTTTTTCAGTTTGTTGGACTATGGAAAAAAAAACAAACACTCTCTCAAAGATGTAAGATGTATAAGCAGTAAATTACAGATTTCTTAGCTAGGATTAAAGGCAAAATAGTCAAATATTAACACGTTCACTTGCCTCAAATGATCAGAACTATACTAGTCAACTCACGATCTCTTCAAAGCAGTTAGATTTATTGGCCCTATTTAACTAGCCATAATATTTAGCAGTTACATACTGTTATTTTTAGTAGAACAATTCATACTAATGCACTGATGACAATTTTGGCACCATAGGATTACTATGCTATTTAGTTCACAACGCTGAAAGAACTAGCAATTGCTAGTTAGATAAAAGTACACAAACTGAGTGCAAGGATTGACAAATAAATCATCAGATTTTTACTTGTCATGGTATAATCCAGCATAAGGGACATCAGCATCTTCTGCTGCATACTATCCCTGGAATTCATGTACTTGTTAAATCCAACATTTTATAATTATCCATTCTAACTTTTGCAGTCAAGGGTCAACCAATTTTCAATCTTTGTTATAAAGAATTTTCTCAAATAACCATAGCTTATAAAATGAAAAACTAACAATAACTGTTTAATTTGATTATTTTAAGAAGTGCCAAACTGCAATTTACAATGCTTTCTCTTCCTTCCTTTTGGTTTTCTTTTGTTCTTTACTCCTGAAGATATTGAATCCTTACGTGGTGCTGCTTCATAGGATGTGTACTGCCCTCCATGAAAGTCCACAACTTCAGATTTGCATATTGGCTGGCTATTTGATTTTGGGAAGAGGCCATGACACTAAAATCAAATCCCATTCTCTCCCAATTATCCCACACAAAAGAAATTCCATCAGAAAATGATCAATAGTCTGGAATAAAACAAAGACCTGCAGATACTGAAATCTGAAACAAAAGCAGAAGTTGCTGGAGAAACCCAGCAGGTCTGGCAGTACCTCTGGAAAGAAAGCAGAGTTAACATTTTGAGGCCAGTGAGTCTTCTTCAGGACAGGTTGGAAGGAACTGGAATTCCAGATCATTTACTCTTCTCCAGCCAAGGGTGCACTGCCACATCCACCTGTTCAATGATAAGCTAACACAGCAGAACAGAAATTCTATCCAGGAAATTTGTGATTCTTATTGCATAAAGAGAGTGCCTCTATGGATGAATGAAAATGAAACTTCACTTCAACCAAAATGAGTTAAAAATACTCTTCAAACACAACCAACCATTATTATTCCTCCAATCACAAAACAAATTAACACAACAAACCTCCAACACACAAAAAAATAAAAGAAGCTGGAGCAAGGATATAATTCGGTGGAAGAAAGTTCCAGCTCAAGACTTGGTTAGCGAGTGCAAGGTAACGTTGAAATACAGAAGACATCTGAGCACTGAGGTTTTCCCGTCGGCTGAATTCCTGAAGCACCTCAACCGTCAAAACAAATATCTGGCGAAGGTCATCCTCCTGTATGTTTGGTAACAAAAGCAAAAATAAACACACACGTGATCTAGTTAAATTCAATACTAATAAGTATTATGATTCTGACTGTCTGATTTTTATTTAAAGCTAGGCTTAAAGTCTATTATAGTCATCCTGTCTCTCTGTCTTATTTTGTCTAATGTTCAGAAAAAGCATTCAGAGTAATGATGAAAAGAAACATGTGTCACTGGAAAACAATTGAAACAGCTTCAAACATGAATAGTTTAAATACAATGCTATGTTCCAGTCTGCTTTGGATTGCATTTCCTCGTTTCTCTTTTTAATTCTGAATTTAGACAATAGGGAGCAGCACAAAGATAGCACTGTAGAATTTGTTGGTAAGTTTGGTGCCCTCCCTGATGGATCATTGCCATTTAAAAGGTGACCAAACTCATCTAATCTATTAAGTGAATATCTGAGTATTTATTTGGTGATTTATACAGCTAAGTCCCAGATTTGTGTTGAATTAGCTGATCACAGAATCCCCAGTGTGAAAACAGGCCATTCAGTCTAACAAGTCCGCACCAAACCTCCGAACAGCAACCCACTCAGACCCATCGCCCTACCCTATCCCTGTAACCCTACATTTCCCTTGGCTAATGCACCTAACCTAGACATCCCTGAACACTATGGGCAATCTAGCATGGCCAATCCACCTAACATGCACATCTTTGGACTCAATGAGGATAAAAAGCAGGGCACCCAACTGATCTTTGTGCCCTTCAGTCAAGGAGAGAAAAACTAGGTCAGAGTCTTGTTCACAATTGCTAATTAACAGTCCTGCTAGAAGTACATTGACTAAAGATGGGATAGGAGGGATCTTGTGGTGCAGTGGTAGTCTCCCTACATCTGAGTCAGGAGGCCTGGATTTAAGTCCCAACTGTTCCAAACATGTGTCAAAACATCTTTGAACAGGTTGATGAGAAAAAGTATTTAAAGACAGGGTCTTCTTGTGATGCAGTCTCTGACATTCAACTCCAATGCTCATTAATTTACATTATTTGCTGAAGGGCAAGAGAGCAAAAAACTAGCACATAAAACTGTACCCTCAAAAAAAAACAATAAAAACAAGTAGTTTCCAAATGACAGTCCCAAAGAAACAGACTACATGACTGGGAAGGAGAGTTGCCAAGCTTTTCTTGAGGAATGGTGCAAATTGTTATATAAAATCAAAACAAAATAAAATGACAATGCTTTTCAGGAGTACATGACCATTTTGTGAATAAAAAGTAACAACACAAAAAGAAGAAAAATGTAATTACAACTCTAATAACATCTGGCCCCAGCAATAAAGACACTACAAGACTAAATAACACTCTCTCATTTGGGGTTATTCATATGTTCATACTTTAAAACTATTAGAGGATGAAATAACCAGTCACTCCAGCTGCACCTGACTTTTATTTAGTTTCCCACAAGTTAATTCAAAACATTTCTCTCCTTCTCATGCTTAACTCACTATTTATTTCTAATTGTTGCAGCAGCTTTCAGATATGCTGCTATCAGTTAAAACAGCTAAGGTGAAAAGTGAAATAACAGCCTCAAGCCCAGGGTACAAGTGCACCACAAAGTTTAGAATATATTTGCAACCTGGGTTTGGTGATTATCTCAATGAGCACGAAGGCTTTGAAATATTAAATTTATCTTTTGATATTCATTTATTTCAACTTTCAGACTTTAAAATCAGAAATAATGGTCCAACTCAAAGAATGCTAGACATAATGGTCTGTGTATTCAGATATGCAGTTTCATTACTTTCTAAAACCTATACCATTTTAGTTTAAGAAGATGCACATTGACACAATCTTTACCTGAAATATCCTCTTGCAGCTTCCATGGAATTCCATGCTGAGACCAATGTTGCTGGTTTTAGTGGAACTTGAGAACTCACTTAATAATGCTGTTAGGATTGAACACGCCAATGTCTGCTGCAAGACAAGTTCAAGCAATATTAATGTTTACAATTATATTAAGTACAACATTAAAAACTATACAGACAACAAATATTGGTACAATCATTGTAAAGTTGCATGAGGCCATATGAAGAGAAAAAGGCAGAAGTGAAAGGAGGAGTGTGATGGTAGTTGAAAGCAATAGTCCAGAGAAGAAAGCAGTAAAGGACAGGGGAGAAATGTCAAGATCTGGGAAGAACCTGCAATAGCGAGAATGAAATGCCAGAGGCAGCATAACTGCCTTACACTTCCTTGATTTTCAGGCAGATGGTGTTGGGAAAAATCATTTTATTTTAAATTACTCACACGAGAGATGTGGGTGTTGCTGGTAGGGCCAGCATTTATTGCCCATCCCTAGTTGCCCATGAGGTCGTGGTTAGCTGCTTTTTTGATCCACTACAACCCATGTGCTCTGGAGGGACCTGCAATGCCAACAGGGAGGGAATCCCAGGATTTTGACCCAACAACATCGAAGGAACAGTGATACATTTCCAAGTCAGGGTGGTGAGTAACCTGAAGGGGAACCTGTTGCCCTTGGTCGTTTGGGTGGAAGTGGTCATGGTTTTGATGCGTATGGAGCTTGGGTCAATTTCTGCAGTGCATCTTGTTGATTGTACACACTGCTACTACTAAGCACTGGTGGTGGAGGCAGTGGATATTTGTGGATGTAGTGCTAATCACATCTCCTTCCCAGTGTTGTTGAAGCTACGTTCTTTCAGGCTAGTGGGGAGCATTCCATCACACTACTGATTTATGTCTTGTAGATGATCTTCAAACTTTGGGGAGTCAGGAGGTGCAGGATTCCTAACCCGAGACCTGCATTTTTAACCACTGTATTTATATGGCTAGTCAGTTCAGTTTCTGGTAAAAGATAACCCCAGGATGTAGATAGTGGGGTATTCAGTGACAGCAATGCATTAGGGCATTTATTAGATTGTCACAGATAAGAAACAGTCATTACCTGGTATTTGTGTGGCGCAAATGTTACTTGCCACTGTTCAGCCAAAGCCTGGATATTGTCCAGATCTTGCTGCATTTGGATATGGGCTGTTTCAATAGCTGAGGAATCACAAATGATGCTAAATATTATAAATCTTCAATGAAGATCTGGACTTCTGACCTTAAGATGGATGGAAGTTCTTTGATAAAGAGGCTGAAGATGGTTGGACGTAGGACACATGCCCGACAATTATTGCAGAAGTGTCCTGGAGCTGAGATGACCGATCTCCAACAACACAACCATTGTCCTTTGAGCCTGGTATGACTATATGCAGTGCTATCTATCTTCAAGAAAGAGCTAGAACAACTTGCTGAGAGCCAGGATTTAATGGGACTGACAAATATCATACTAATGTAAACAGCACAATGGGAAGGCCATGCTAATAAGGCTAAATTAACAGTGACACATCACAGATATTAGAACCATGTATTTTGTTTTAAAAAGAGAAGCTTTCAAACAAGCTACTATTGGGGTTTTGGCTCTTAAATTGTTTAATTAAAAGCTGTTGATTTTAATTCAGAAAGCAAATTTGCACCTAACAGTTATACTCATTTTTATTTTATGAATGCTGTTGAACTTCCAACGCAAGTAACTGTGTCCAAGAAAAAAATAAGAATCGACTGTATAGATCGGATATGGTTAACATTAAATATGACTGAGGATATTTAACAATAGATTAGGTATTCTATAAAATGGATGTTGATTAGCACTGATTATGACAGGTGTTCTCTGCTTTCATTATTAAATTAAATGCTGGAAATTGGAAAGTAAATTGTACACATTTCAGTGGGAATGACTTTTTTTTAAACTAGACAAGCATGATATTTATTTTGTGCATATAAAATTCCAGAAGTGACCAGTTAATCACTTTGAATTCGTATTGCTAGTTAGAGGGGAAAAAAATCAGAATATTAGAAAAAAAATCAAGTTCTCTGACTACTAATATACCTTGAACATCCTTGTTAACAGCTGCTTTGATGACCATCTGGAAGACAACACCTACTAAGATGGTACAACATTGCAGAGTCAGCTTAGGTTGTAGACTCAAGCCCCAGACCAAGAATTCAACCAAAAATCCTTTCATGCAGAAGTGAGCATGTGACCATCTGAGCCAAGTTGGAATTATACCATATACAGTACATAGGGCAATTTGATTGGAGATTCAAAACTTGCACAAAAATCATTATCCTCAAGCAAGAAACTTCTATGTACATAAAAACTGACTTATTCCTAAGTTTGGACATCAACAACATGCAACACCTGGATGAATCGGTTAATATGGTTACCCAGTCAATAACTGACCATAGAGATCCAGAGCATAAATTCATAGACATCAGCTGGTATTTTACAACAAATGCCATAATCCCTGTCTAAGAGGAAAATAGAACAAATCTCATAGTCTCAACTGCTGGGAGTGTATAAACACCAGAACAGGACAGAATCACCTCCATTATGACAGTCCTACTGATTAAACAGTAATGTAGAAAAGCAACACATGTGCTTTACATATTAACCAAAAGTAAACACAGCTCTACAATGAGAGGTGACTAAAAGCTTAGTCAAAGAGGTGCACTTTAAGGGTGGTCCTCAAAGGAGTTGTATGTGCAAAAGTTTCAGAAGGGATTTGCAAACAATCAGCCAAAGCCACCATTATCAACGTTGACACGAAGGCTGGGGATGGTGGAATTGGGGTACTAAGGGGCCAGAATGAAAGGAATGTTGAATCTGCCAAGGATTGAAGGCCGTTGTAGCTTAAAGAAATAGGCTATGGAAGAGTTTAAATTTGAGACACTTGGGGACTGGGAGCCAATACAGATCAGTGAGCACACCAATGATAGATGAAGGGTACGTAGTACATACAGTAGATGCAAATTTTGAATGAAAGATTAATGAGAGGTAGACCAGGAGAGCAGTGAAATTGTTGAGTCAGGAAGTAAGACGAACAAAAAGTAGTGAACAATATTACGAGATGGAAAGTAAGCCATCTTGTTAAAGAGGTTATGTCGGCAGTAACTCAGCTTGGGATCAAATAGGATTCTAGTGTTGCAAACAGATAGCTCAATCACACACAGTCTGCAAAGGGGAAATAATCCATGGTGAAGTTACAGATTTTGTAATGGCACTTTTGGTCATCCAATGTCTAACTGGAGTAATTGTTGCTCATCTAAAATTGCTGTCAGACAGGTAATCTAAAATCACCAAGGTAGTAGAGGGTGCAAGAAGAATAATGAAGACAGCACCATATTGTTTCAGTGATGTCTTCAAGGTTATACATGACAGTTAAGTGGATGAAGAGGGCAAGGACTGATCCTAGGAGGGACTACAGAGACAATAATGGAGGGGTGAAGAGTGAAATTAGTGCTGGGCAGCATCTGGCTATTCTAGAACTAAGGAAGTCAATAAGGTCAACAATGAGAAAGATACTGAGTGAGGACAGTGCGGTTCACACCTCAGCCACAAACAAGAATAGTGAAACTGTAACTCATTAAGACGTTAATAATTTGTATTAGCATCTATAATGTAGTAAATTCCCTAAGGTGCTAAACAAAGGGAGAAGAAGTGATTGGTGTCTGATCAAAAGGCAATGTCAAAAGATAGGTTTCGTTAAGGTCTTACAAAGAATGGAAAGACAGCAAGCCAGCTTGATTTAGGGAAAAGAGTTCTATAATGTCATACAGAGACAGCTGAAGGTTCGCGTACTGAAATAGAACACAGGAAAAATGGGATGCAGAGGTGACCAGAGGCAGAAGATCTGAAAGCACTTGTTGGCACATAAGCATGTATGAAGTTGGCAAAAAAACAACAGCTGAGGCAGAGTGTTTTGGATCATGTTAAAAAATATTTGTGTCATCATGTCTACACCAATGAATACTAATCCTACAAATAGCAAATTCACCTGGACTTCAATACATGGAATTCGATTTTTCTTTAATTGATTTACAGTGGCAAAAAAATAAAATTTCAAATTGTTCCTTCCCTTTAAGTTATAAAAATAACGCTGCTGAATAAGAGATGATTCAAAGTGTCATAGCTTTGTTGCAGTTTTAGTGTTGCACACACAGTTATGAAATCCTACATTAGTCATGCAACAACTTGCAGGGGAAATGTGATGCATTCTTGGAATGACAATTTTGAATCAATCTCAATGCTTTCTCTCCCCCTGTAGATTTATCCCAAAGATCATTGTCAGCATTGTTATAACTTCAAAGCAATTGGCTAGAAGCCCAGACCATATGGTGCCAAGGTGGGGTCTGTTAAAGTGTTAATGTTCAAAGCTATGTCTGTGAAGCCAATGTCTAGAGGGAAATTGCTATGTGTCTTCCTACCTAGTTAATCACTGTACACGGCAAGTATGTTACCAGTGTGTTTCTATTTATACAGCTGCACACAACAGCTGAAGTAATGCTGTTGGGTCAGCTGCAACATTTCAGTTTAGAAATGCCACACATGAGTAATACCTTGACCTTGGTAGTTTAAGCGTATCCAAGCCTAGTCACAGAATATTAAGATATATCAAACATTATATCTTTGCAGTATGGAGTAGGAGTCAAATTTTAACGTAACACAAAAGGTCAGTGCTTCATCAAGTTTACGTGGGAGCGAAACAGTTCATAATGCAATCGCTTGTGAAAATTACGCATTATTCAAAATTTTTCCATGATTAATAATTTGTTCATGATCTTGTTACTTTCAATTTGAAAGCCATAACTTGTAGTAGGCTAATATTTTCAACATCTGTAAAAGCTACTCCCAGCATTAACGTTTTTTGCAAATGTAGAATCTGCCAAAATCTTCCAATATGAGACTGAGAATCCTGATCAAGGAGTGGAGGAATATTGCACAGGTATATTTCCTACTTGTAGTATAGACAGATTATAAATCCATTACTTACAAAAACATTCCTTTTCTCCCTCCACAAATGATGTTAAGAGAAAATTCTCTCTCCTAACATTATGATGATGACAACTTTTTTGTGAATCTAATTAGATCCCTCCTCCAAAATTGATCACTGTGAAACTCCATCAGCCACTTGTCTGTCCAAATTGCTGGCCTACGTCCTGCTGCAGTCAATTGGCATCAGTCTCACTTCCAAGTTTGATACCGTTGGAAAACTTTGAAATTTCACTTTGTATTTCAATACCTAGGTCATTAATAAATAGCAGACCCACAGCAAGGGGGTTGACCCTCAACTGCCTTCTGGGCAATTAGGGATGGACAATAAATGCTGGCCTCGTTAGCCATGTCCACGTCCTGTGAATGAATAAAAAAAACTAAACAAAAAGCAGCGGTCTCAAGTTCTGACCTTTTGCATTCATTAATGCCTTGCTCACCTAGTAAAGATCAGTACAAAGAATTCATTGAGTATTCTAGCCTTGCCCGGTGCCCTGAAGCACGCATCACTCCCTTTGCTTCGAAAAGCTTCCATCCTACCTCTTAATCTCCTGCTTACTGCATACACATCAGCAGAAGATTTGAGAGTTTCTTTTTATGTTAACTGCCATTCTATTCTCATGTCATCTTTGCCAGTCTCACTTTCCACAATACTTAATCCTATTAATTTACGCATATGGCCTGGATGTTGCTTGAAGAAATCACTTCACAAGCATGATATAGACCATTCTTTTGATTTCATCATGTTCTCACTATCTAAGGATCTCTATCAATCTTTGGTTCTATTTTACCCTGGCTATATGCCACTCATCCCATTGAAATTAATATTCTTCCAGTTTTGAAGTTCTACTTTACATTGCTCCTTCCTTTTCCCTATGACTAATTTAAATCTTATGATTAACGAACACTCTTACCCAGAAGCTCCTTCACACACACTTGGTACACCCGGTCCAACACATTCTCCATCACCAGATCCAGCAATCCCTCTTTACTAATTAGATTGGGAACACAATGGTCAAGGAAATTTTCCTTACAGTTCAGAAATGCCCCTCCCCGCTTTTTCCTTTATTGTAGCATTATCTAAATCAATATGTGGGTGTGCTTACAGTTTACGGGCAAGATGGATGTCTCAATTGAAGGAATCCAAACAGAGAACTGTAATGTGTGCATATACCTGCATATCTGCAGTAATTACATATTTGATAGGGTGGGGGGGTGCGCGCGTGCACGACAGGGGTCAGCAGGTTGCGTGGCAGTGGGTGGGAGAGACAGAGTGAGACAACCTTGTCATCAAACCACTGATATCTTTGTGATGCTGGTGCTGTCACTGTTGTGTCAGATACAGATTTCCAAAATTTTGGCCCATCAGTAATCTTGGATTGGCAATATATGTCAGGTTTCCTGATGGCAAAACTGAGTGTGATGGTGTTCCTAAAATGTTGCAGGAGAAGGAAATGCTGTCAAAACAACCGTAATAAATCTGCTGGAGCCCATCTTTTAGACTGTACATACAGTGTGTTGGTCCCATATATCGTGAATATTGAGTCTATTGAGGATGTTGGATGTCTAGGAGCTAAAACAATATGGAGACCAGATGAATAGTTGACAATATCAGACAGAGAGGCAGCTGGGGTTAGAAAGATTACAGATGAAAATGATTAGTTCTCAAGGAAAGGTTGGATGAAAAGTTAGATAGTTTCCACCTGGATACGTTAGAATATTACCCCCCCATATTCATTTTTTAGCAATTGAAAGTATTTTCACACTAGGCCTTGCAGGGAAAAAGCAAAAGTAAAACAATTTGAGGGGTGACAAACATGCACAGAAATAGTACAAGGAAAAGTAGCAGTAACAGCAACAATAGAAAATCAAAGTGAGCATTGAGTACTTACCACTACTGGGTTACCACTGCTTATTAAGTGGCTGACTTCATGGAAGATGCTGTTGCAGACAATGGTTTTGTCTAATGAGCCTCGCTTTACAATTACTGCTACAGCTAATAATATCTGCTCTCGAACATATTTCTGAAGGCTATGAAGAAACAAACATTAACTACCTTTAAGAAACAATTTTCAATAACTTTATTCGCTTTGAGCAATATCAAATACAAAGATTATACATTAAAAGAAAATTACAACAATCATCTTCTAGCTCATTTGCACTCATCCTTACAGATTACCAACTATATCGCAAGCAGTGAAGTAAATTATGAGAATGATATAAACAGTCAGCAATGGAATATAGATAGGTTAAGTGAGTGGGCAAAAAAAATTGACAGACGGAGCACGACATAGACAAATGTGAATTTGTTGACTTTGACAAGAATAATAGGAAAAACAGTGTACTACTTAAATGGAGTGAGATTGCAGAGCTTGAGACTGTGCGATCTGGGTGCCCTGGGGTATGAATCTCAACAAATACAGCTACAGCAAGGTAAATTTTGGTGATTATTCAAACATGAATGGAATATAAAAATAAAGTTTTACTGCAACTGTTCAAAGAGTTGGTGAGACCACATCTGGAATACTCTCTACAGTTTTGGTCTCTATATTTGAAAATGGATAGAACTGTATCTGAAGCAGTACAGAGAATATTAACTCAACTCATTCTTGGGATGAGGGAGTTATCCAATGGGGAAAGTTTAGACAGGCCAGACCTATATCCATTGATTGAATTTTAGGTGTAAGTTGACCTTATTGAAATATACAAGATCCTGAGGGGCATGACAGGGTGGAAGGATGTTTCATCTTGTGAAACAGACTAGAACTAGGGATCATAGATTAAAAAATAAGAGCTCTCCATTTTAAGATGGGGATGAGGCAATGTATTTTTTCTGTCAGAGGGTTGTTATTTGGAATTTTCTTCCCAGGAAGTAGTGGAGACAGGTCATTGCATTTATGCATGGCAGACTTAGATCAACTTTTGATACTTAAAGGAGTCAAAGGCTATAGATAAGTTTATTTAATAATAAATGATTAAGTGACTGTCTATTGTGTATATTGGTACTACAGTATTACTGATACTAATTCAGTATTTTTACACTGGAACTTTTCTCAGGTAAACTTTCAATTGGCTTTGTAACCTCAGATCTATAGTGATGACTTCTGGTCTTGGTGCGATCTGAACAAATACACTGCCACATTGCAAACTGAGGCAGACCTCAAAAACAAATTTCCTTTTGATTCCCTTTGCAACAAGTGGAATAAGGGGAGGCAATAGCAATAGTGGTATTATCACAAGACTATTAATCCAGAGAGCCAGGTACTGTTCTGGAGACCCAGCTTCTAGTCCCACCATGGCAACCGATATGAATAAAAAAAGATCTGGAATTAAGAGCGTAATGATGACCACTGAACTGTTGCCAATTGCCAGAAAAACCCATCTGGTTCTTTTAGGGGAGGAAATTGATGTCCTTACCTGGTCTGGCCTAGCCTACATGTAATTCAAGACACACAGCATTGTGGTTAACTGGCCCTTTATGTAATTAAGGATTGGCAATAAATGCTGGCCTAGTCATCCCATCAAATTAAGAAATATAGACCTAAGTCTATCCAGTCTCACTTCATGTGCCAGTCCTACTATCCTAGGAATCAATCTGGTAAAACTCTTTTCACTTCCTCCATAGCCTAAATATCTTCCCTCAAATAAGGAGACCCCTGGCATTTAGAAAAATTAAGAGGTATTTTATAGAAACCTACAAATTCCAAGAGGATGAGGGCCACAGAGGGACAGGTGGGGTCCAGAGAGGGACTGACTGAGAAAGAGACAGACAGGAAATGAGTTAGAGCATAAATTAAAATTGTAAGACTACATTCCATACCCCAAAATCCATTGATTCAAATGAAAATTTTAAAAAGCTAGTTCAGGTACACAAATGAATGGGTTCTAATCCAGAGCTTTCCAAAATGGAATCCGAACTTCAAACAGGGTTGCAAGCTGAAAACTTGGGACACGAGTTCTAAGCAATGGCAGCCATGGTGCTCTGACTGGGTTCTAACAGCTGCGCCCTCACTCTAACTAAGATCTCCGCTCAACTACCACAACCTGTCGCACACAGAGGTCACAACAATTTTCAACTCTCAAAATTGGAGTCAAACTGGGAAGAAGCTTGGGAAGCACTGTCCTAACTGGTTAGAGTTGAATGTCAATAATATATTCAGTTATCAGCAAATGAATTTCAAGACAACTCACACAAAAGATTTTACCTCATCAAAAGAAAAAAATATGCTGGAAATCTGAAATAAAAATGAAAGGTCACACACCTGAAATGTTAATTCTGTTTCTCTTTCCCCAGATGCTGTCAGGCCTGCTGAGCATTTCACATTTTCTTTTATTCCAAATCTTACCTCATAGCAGACATTTCCTTTGTGTGCAAGTAAACACCTAGGTTTCTACCTGCCGTTTGTTAAACATATTGTTATGGAGTACTGAAGAAACATTCTTTCTACATATGAAAACTGGACTAATTTAAAGGATAACATTTTGGTTAAACATTAAATTACAGCCATAATGGTTTTCAGGAATGCTGCAGCAACACAAACTTTCTTCCAAAAGTAGAATTTGATTCTATCAGATCACCACTAACTATATCTTCTAGTAACAAAATAAAGAAATTGATCCGAAGATAACCGATAAGTAACTTATACTGCATGACCCGATTTTCTCTCATAACCTATTCAAATGGCAATTACCTGCCCACATTCTTCTAAAGTCAGAGTTATTTGTTATTTGTGAACTCGAACTTACTTTTTAATTTCAATAAGATTTCTGAAGACAAACCAATTTCAATAATAAAAGAAATTATTTCATGGAAGTCTTGGGAAAACCACTGGAGTACTTCACTACAATAATGATTTTCCATTATATTCAAGATTCAATATACATGGTACGCACTTAGGCCTTTGTAAGACGTAAGTTAATAGGAATGTCCGTAGCGACTCAATGCTGTTTTTTTCCAAGAGTACCCATTCACGTACAACCGCTTCCATTATGGTTGTCGCAGCTTGAAAAAGAACGTAGTCAACTTTACTGGTTTCTGCAAGAAAGAAAATCAAAAATTTGAGACATTGTCCCTTATAACAAATGATAAAAGAGAGCATTACACTGGCAAATTTCACTTAAGCAATGGTGGGAAATGTTTTATTAACTGTATTATGCATCAATATCTATACCAAAATATGTATTGCAAAGAGCAAGAATTGGACAATATTAACATTTTGTTACTGTGTACATAATCACAATTTCTCACATTGGAGGTGCCAATTTTACCAGGCAATTGAGAAGTCCATTTTTGAGTATAAAGGGAATCTGAAAACAGGTAAATTGAATACATTCATAACTTTTCTACCAGCTGTTTACAGGACCACACTACAGAGGCTTGGTGTAAAGTATCTGGGGAGAATCAGTTACCAAGTAGGTTTCGATTTGATATACAGAAGTAATTTCACTGGATTCAAGACTTTGTAACAGATTTTGTCAGGAAACAGGTTGAAACTTTGCCTTGCTGTGTGTTTTAACTTATTTCTAACTGTTCTACATTTAGATAGTTTAGTTTTTTTAGTGTTTTCATAATTTGTGTAATAAATTTGTGTTCTGTTGTTAAAGAAACTCTGCAGCCTCATATGACTGCTTTAGTCAATAACCACCAAATTAGCTAGATTAAAGAAATTCGACTTCATTCTATGTACCGACTTGCCCAGTAGTACCATCGACTGGGATCGTAACTCTAGTCTTTCACTTTTATCCACACTGACACGTGCCTAGCCGTGGTAGGGATATTAGAAAAAAAACAGACAAGTTATCACCAGGCTGCTGCTCCACATGTAGTGACTATGTGAATATTAACAATGGCAGAAAGCAGACAGTAGATTGCCTAGTTATACCCTCATACTGTGGCAAGGGTATGGTTTTACTGGACACACATGGAAAGAAAAAAAATTACCAAAGATTACAATTCCTTGAAAAACGTTGAAGCAGAGACTATTATTTTACACATATTTATGTTTTCACCGCTGTTGATGGAATGACTTCCTTTGGGCTTTATATAAAATTACAAACATATTTGTAAAGAAGCAGAGAATTGAAAATTATCCCGCTTTTCGGTAATCTTGATTTTAAGCAAATAGAAATAGGATAGATTTACCTAATATGTGTTTACATACTGCAAACGGCGATTTTGATTTTCTAAATGACAGGAATATGTGTTCTGCATGTTGACGTTGTTCATGACTGACCAGGGATGGGGGTGCCTTTGGGAAGAGGAAAATAAGAGAAAAATTCAGTTGTCACTTAACATACAAACTGGCAGAAAAACCAAGTACACGTATTCTGTATCCCAGCTGTATTTTTTAATTTACTTTGAATAGGTTCAACAGACATGTGAAGCTGGTATACAAGTCTCACACTAACTTTGCAGCTACTTGCACAAGCATAAGTTATCAACGTGATGAACCAGTATTGCTGTTTTTGAACACTCAATCGACAACTTATATTTGTATAATCTTTCATGTAACAAAATGTCCCCTGGGCTCCACAGGAGAATTGTAAAACAAACTATGATAGTGATGATTCATAATATGGGTATTGAAACAGTTAATAATTAGAAACATCTAAGTAGTAAAGTACATGATGAGTTGAATTGCAGGGAAGATATACAGGTGTAGTGGGTAAGGGACATGAATTAGTATACTACTTATGAAAATTAAAATCCTTTTAAGGAGATCTCAATCATAAAACACGTCTATGTCACTGGTGTTGAGTATCCTTTTTGGATATCTCTCCTTGTGACACTGTGATCTTGGTGACAAAGTCTCTAAGAATACATAGATTATTGAACCAAGCAGGAAGACTGTTGAGTGAACAATGTTTCTTCACAAAATCTGTTCTCAAAGAATATTGATCAAAGTAAAGAGTATCACAAACAATGAGAATCAGCCCATGTCTCACTATTATTGTTGGACAGATTCAGAGAAAAGGCTACAAGTCATCACACCAGGAAAAAAAGAACTCTTTGCACTCAGTTGTGTCTTTCTGTGCAAGCAGTTTTAAAAGAAATTTGATGTGAATCATGGACTGATGGTTTCAGTACTCTGAAACCGTTTTTTTGAAATACACATTTTAAGTTACATTTTAATGCAAGCTAAATCTCAGCAAAAAGTAGTTTATTCATTTGCAAGTTATTTCTTAAATGAATGATCAATGTACCTAAGCAGCTATGTCCTGGTGGAACAATTAAAATTGGTGATTCTAAATTGTCCACAATTAGCTTAGTGCAGATAATGAGAAGGATTGCAGATATGATAAAGATTATAGACATTTGAAGGGACCACGTCAAGGAGCGATTGGAAAAAAAAGTTGAGAATTTTAAAAATCAAAATGTTACTTGATCAGGAGCCAATGTAAGTTAGAGAGCATTGGGCAACAGGTGAACAGGGCTTGGTGCAAGTTAAGATAAGGGCAGCAGAGTTTATAGAAGTTTGTATGTGGGAGACTAGCCCAGACGGCATTTGGAATAGTCAAGTCTAAAATGACATCAAAGAAGTTTCCAACAGTAAATGAGCTGAGACAAGTTCTGAGGAGGGGTCACCGGTCCTGAAACGTTAACTCTGTTTTTTTACTTCATAGATGCTTCCAGACCTGTTGTGTGAGAGAGAGACAGCGCTATGTCAGGATGTAACAGGTAGAAGTATGTAATTGTACGAATAGTGCAAAATCATTTTTAAAAATGGAAAATAAATGTTCTTAATTCTTTACTGCTTTATTCAAGGAATGCATTGTCAGAAGCGCAGCCATTCCAATGAAATGCAAGAACTAGGAGCAGAAGTAGGCAATTCAGCCCCCCGAGCCTGACCCGCCATTTAATACAATCATGGCTGATATCATCTTGGCCTCAACTCCACTTTCCTACATGATCCCCAAAACCCTTTGACCTGTTACTAATTAAAAATTTGTCTATTGCCTCCTTAAATTTACTCAGTCTCCTGGCATCCAATACATTCTGGGATAGTGAATTCCACAGATTCACGATCCTTTGGAAGAAGTAATTTCTCCTCATTTGTGTTTTAAATCTGCCACCCTTTAGCCTAAAACTATGACTTTTCATTCTCGATTACCCATGGGTGGGGGGGTGGTAGAGAAAGAGGGGAGACATCCATTCTACATTTACTTTGACAATCCTCTCATATACCTCAATTAAATCTCCTCATACTAAAATCAAGTGAATTAGGCCTACACTGCTCAATCTCTCCTCTTAAGACAAATCTTTCATCTTTGGAATTAATCTGGAGAACCTTCTCTGAAATACCTTCAATGCAATTTACATCCTTCGTCAAGTAAGGGGACTAAAATAAATGCAATACTCCAGATGCCGTCTAACCAGTGTCTTATCCAATTGCGACAACACTTGCCTACTTTTATACTCCATTCCTTTACCAATAAATGCCAAATTCCATTTGTCCTCCTTATTACTGGCTGCACCTGCATACAAGCCTTCCATGATTCAAGCACAAGATCACCCAGATCACACCGCATTGAGCACTTTGACGTTTCACAACATTTAGATAATAAGATGCCCTCTTATTCTTCTGACCAAAATGGATAATCTCATGCTTATTCACATTCAATTTTATCAGCCTAATTTTGGTCCATTCACCTAACCTATCCATATGCATTTGTAGATTTTTTTATTTCTTCATTGCAACTTACTTTCCCACCTATTTTTGTGCCATTGCAAATGCGGCGATGACATTACTATGCAAGAGAACTTAAAGTGTTGTCTGTTTTGCCGGGGATCAGACTGACCAAAACATTACACTGTTCTGTGTACAGAAGGAAAGAGAATTCCCACAAGCAGCTTGACAAATATTTCCCTTCAAACCTCAAAAACAGGCGAATTAACTGGTGTTTGTGAAACCTTGCTGACTAAATTGGTGAGAACATTTACCCATCCATGAGTAAATACACTTCATTTATTAATAGATAAATCGATGAATACTTCTGAGACATTTGGACAGACTCAAGTTGATTGTAACTTAATTGAAATACAAGTCAATAACTTTGATATCAAACTTGTTTTGAAAATAGTTGCCTAAGTAATAAAGTCATAAGGAGAGATGCGCAGGTGTGGTGGATTAGCCATGGTAAATGGGGGCATCATGGAATAGGGTGGAGGGGGCTGCGTCTGGATGGGACGCTTTTCAGAGAGTTGGTGCAGACTAGATGGGCTGAATGGCCTCTTTCCACACTGTAGGGTTTCTATGATTCTATAAAATAATTTATAGAACTCAAATAGGAATATTCAATTGTTCTCACGCTGTATAACAACCCTTACCAAAACGAATTCAATATTTTGGACCATAGCTCCCTCTTTTGTTTAGATTAAATAGTGCAACCATTTACAGAATATGTGGAGTTCCTTTGCAAAGTAATGGAACAAACCAGAGATTTTTCTTGCAATGTGAATTCATTAAGTCCATAACACACTTTTGGCCTCAGTTCATCTGTTGATGAATAACTGCTTCAGTTTTAATTTATTGCATATTTTCTTCCCAAATGTGGCAAAAATGAAAGACAAAACTTTAATGCAAAGAACTGTGTTTAAAATCTTCTATTTGTAAATATTTTGTACTAAGCAAATCAGCAAACTTGACTGGTAACATTTATGGAATAGGCAGTTCCAAGAGTTGCTGGATGACAAAAATGAGCAACAGGAGAGGGGCTAAATGCAAGGTTTTCAATTGGTCATTCAGAGCAATTCAAAAGTCACTAAAAGGAGCTCAAACTGATTGGATGAGATAGACAGCAGAAGGCTCCAAGTTAGGGGTGCTGCAATTAGCTGTGCTGCTGGGAAGGCAGCTGAACTACACATTCTCAGGTTACTCAGTGAGGAGTCAAGAGCAGTCAGATGTCTGTGGTGTTACAGAGCTTGGAAGGATGTCCTAGGAATTAGTAGGCAGTCAAGTGTTTGAGTCAGGACTGAGATGAAGTCCTGGGGAGTTGAGAAAGTGGGAAAGCTCGGTGGGAAGTGGGAAGTCTCACTGGCTTTGTGTTAGAGGAAACCATCATGGGCTCTGTGGAAACCTATGAGCATTACTACTCCTTTATGGCGTTTTGTGGGGGGCGAAGAGGTGTATTTGCTTGATTTGAGCAAAACTGGACCTCAGGAAAAGGCCTGGAGCTGTTTTAGTTTAGTGAGGGTAGTTGTCAACTAAGGCCTGGAATTATGCCTGTGAATGAGCACTGGAGTGTGCTTTGAGTCCAGAGGGGCTTAGGATTGAATTATATTCTGTTTAATTGTGGTAATTTATCAGTTTCTTAGGAAGAAACCACATCGCAGGTCAAAGGTAAGGTTATTGGTTTATGGTTTTATTATTGTTTCATGACTCAAGCAATACAGAATCTAAAGTAATTTAAGCTAACACATGGAGGAATGCTGAGATAAAATACTGTTGCTCAAAGATACCAGCTGTTTTAAATTCATTTAGTTTTGTCACAAAGTAGGTAACAGGTCTGTGGGCATATATTGGTATGAATGTTTGTGTGGATATAAACTAGTATTTCAAAATCAGGTTCTGTTGAATTATCGACACACTATTCCTAGTTAAGTCATGACCGTGTTTACCTTTATCGAGGAGCCAAGACATTTACGTCATATTTATGCAAATATGAACATCTTCCAGATATGAATATTGGAAATTTCAATGCAGGGGTCAGTGAGAAGCTGATTTACCTTCCAAGCAGTCACCACTTGCCCCAATGCTTTATTCATGAATTATTGTACAGAAGGGTGAAGGCGGAAAGCTGGTATTATGTTAGCCTAATTTTCCATTCAGTAAGTTATTAAGTCATGCTATAACTGTTCAAATTTTCATCAAGTTTGAAATGATTTAACATGTACACCCATTACATGATGCAATAAATGTCCTAATTCTTATCTCCGTTCTACTCTCCTCTTTTGTAGTATGCTGTGAGGGAAGTAAACAGCATATTAATATTGTAGATGCCCAGGTTATTTGAATTCTACTCAGCCAATGGTATCCAAAGGCGACTGAAGTATTGTGCATTGCAGTATTAATAGAATGAAAATTATAGCTTTGATTCTTAATACCATCAAATGTAATATTTCATGAAACAATTGGGAAAAGGTATCTGATGGTAATCATCTGCTACCCCTTTGAGGCAATGGGAGAGAGAAAAATGATTCTTAAAAAGACATGAAAATCAACCAAGTGCTATGCCCAACTGGAGTTTC